TTAATACAGTAATATATGCTTTTCAGAAATTAAAAATCCTACTTATGGTTATTGTGAAATATGTTTCGTTGTAACAGTGTACATTTGAATCCAGCTAAGACCTTTGGAACGGATCTGAGAGAAGAATATGTACTAATAGATGAAATTTTAATCTCTGGACATAATTTGGTTTATGTGATTGTAGGCTTAAGAGAGAAAAGCTTGTAACATTCTGGAAGAGTTTTGCTTCAAGTTTCTTCTTTATTGCACATTTAGTAAGTGAGGTAAATCAAAGGTCAGTATATCAGTCGAGTGTTTTTCAAGGCAGCGTATGACAGCTTAATATCGTAGTTTCATTATGTATCTCAGAATGAATGATAATTGCTGTATAGTGTAATATGAAACAGTTATCGAGTATTCCCCTTTGCAGGAGCCCTGTAAGATTGTTGTATGAAGTTTTATGTAAATTCTGATTTGGATAATTTTCAGTTGTTCATTTTGTGTATACGTGTTTATTTCTACTGTGAATTGCCTGGTGCTTTCAGTTGCAATAGGAAAGAGAGGAAATGGTCTTAGTAGGTGTACATTAGTTTGTGAATGGAAATAGTTCCATAGACATTAAGCAGTTTCATCCAGATATTAATGAACTTCAGAAGGGTTAGGAAGACCGCTGGACATACTCTGTGCTGAATTGTAGCAGACAAGCCGCACTTGAGAGCGCTGTCCTTAGGGATGCTGTTGTTAGAAGTCTGAGTGCCAGAGGGTGAGCACAACAGCAGCCAATGATTTAACTAGAACTTAATTCTGAAGAGCAAAGTCATGAAGAGCAATCCAGAAGTTTCTCTATACATTACTTGGATTTAAAGATGTTAACCGAAATTACTCCCTTAGTTTCATGAGGTCAAGCACATGTCCATGAGCTCATGGAATTTAAACTGGCAAAAACTGTATGGAGAGAAAGTATTCTCAGTGACTTCAGAAACATTGTTCATGGCATGGGAGATGCATCAGAGACACTTGTTGATGGTAGCGTCAATATTTTGGAAATCAGTTGATGTTCTGACTCTGATGTTTCCTTTTTAAAATGGTCTGAAGATTAAAAGGTTAAAAAAATAAACATAACACGTTAATAATCAGAGGCCAATTTATGTTTGGGTTTTTTGTTTTGATTATTCACTAGGAATTTTTGAAATGTTTTGGAATTAAGTCTCTGATAAATGTGGAAGGGTAGAAAAGCTGTCATATTCAGAGGGTTGATTGCATGAAGAAGTTTAGTTGTTCAGTTTGAACTAATTGAATTATCCCAGGGGAATGTGGGAATAAAGAAGTCAGCAGTAGCTTGCTTACATTACCTGAAATTGGATTCATTTAATCAGCAGTCTACTGAATGGTCATAGTATGTATTTTACACTATTTTCCACATTATTATTTCCATAGCATTTGTTTACCACATGGTTGAGGTTAAGATGAGTTAGTAGTAATGTCAACTCTATGTCCTGTGCCTGGTTCACGTGTATGGTCTCTGGATACTGTAGCATCTTTCTGGAGGTAGGAAATCTCTCTTTTTCTTTCTGCTCCAGAATTTTCATTTACTGTTTATTGTGTGGCTGCATGGTCCCATTTTTTTTCTGCGAATATTATGAGGCTGTAGATCCTTCCTTATGGAGTGAAAAAAGGGGAGGGAAGAAATTTGGTAGGGAAGAAGAGGGAATCTTTCTTCTGGTTTGGGCAGCATTTGTTCAAAATTGATTTCCCTTCTGATTGGTTTTGCCAACTGGAGAAATTGAATAAATCAGGGTATAATTTAAAACTGGTTTTGCTGCAGACCCAGTGCCTTATGTGCATTAATCTTGTTCTGTGTTCTGCTTGAGTGTGTTACAATTCTATCTAAGGATTTATTTGACAACATTATCTTTTTGTGGTTTCTAATGATACTACTGGGAGTGACTAATTTTATAGAAATTGATGCTGACAGAAACCAGGATGGAAGTCTACATTGTACCTACTAGATTAAGTCCCGCCCATACTCAATCTGTTTCTTATCAAATTGACAATATAATTAACTGTGCTTGTATGTATTGCAACTTATACCAGTGCATTCAGAATTGTGAGGTACCTTTAACATTTGTGATTAGGGCTATCTGACACCTAAATATACTGATACTTTTAAAAATACCAGGTAAAGGGGGGAAAAAGCAAACAAACTTTTTTCTTTTACTCTCAGGATTATTTACACAAATGAAAAGTACCATAAAATGTGTTAGAATGCATACATATGTCCTCATATGTATACTATGCCATCATATATAGACTGCATTTATGACACCCTTGGCTGTCTCATCTGTACTTTCCCTATCAATCTCTCTCCTCTGGGAATTTTTCAGACATTCCAAACCCTTAAATAGCTTGGAACAGCTGCCTTCAGGAAAAAAAAAATCATCATAAAAAAGTTTTCTGCTCCACCATCTGCTTTGCATTTTGTATTGTTAAGCCTCACTCTTTTTTGCAATAAAATAAACAAACCAAACAGAAATACCAAACTATCCCAAATTTCAGAGATCCATATTCTTAATTCTGTCCACAACGATTGTTTAAGAAGTGATTTTTTTTAAAAAAAGAAAAAACTAAAGTTGCTGAGAAGTTTTTAGTGGCAATTTTGTCTTACTTTTGCCTTTTCTATGACATGTAATGTGTCTGTCCCAGGTTCTGAGTTCTGAAAGTCTGTGCTTCAAATTCTGACACTTTATCCTGGGGGCCTCTCTTAGGTAATTTTTAGAGAGATTTTTAATTTATGTATAGTTTTCTTACTCTTTTGAGTTGAATGTTTGGATTCAAGGTAAGCATGATAACTGTGTTCAAAGTGATTTCCTCAAGTTCTAAGAAGAATTTTGATAAAATGAAAGGTCTCATTAAGCATTTTTTTAAAATTAAGTCTCTTGCAGAATGTGTTGTATGCAGAAAAGCATCCATATTATGATATAAAAAAAATCTTACTGGCAGTGAGTTGGTCTCATCCACATAATCTGTTCAGGGTTTTCTGCCCCTAATTAATCCAGTTAAGGGCAGAGTAAGCGTCCAGTAAGTGTCTCTACCGGCTACACGTAAAAACTTTGACCCTTAAGTGGTGGGTTGTTTCCCTATTAGGGAGTGTGGGGATAGTTGATATGGGGATGTGATTAAATCTTTTTTTTTTTTTTTTTTTAGTAGAGATCATATTTATATGCCTGTTCTGTAAAGAAAAATTACTGCTGTAGCGCTTCCCACTGTTTTCTTCCTCTTACCGTTCATTACTACTACTGCTATTCAGGAAATCTTGAACTGTTTTTGTAAGTGTAGACATTAAAGAGAGGAAGTGACTTGTCCAAGGCTACTAAACAAGCTAAAACTACTAATAGGACACTTTTGCTTTTAATTCTCTGTTCATCAAACAGCTCGATACAATTGACTGAAAGAATCCTAAACCAGCTTAATACTAAGAACCAATGTTCTTGCCTCCATCATATGAGCAAATATAGGCGTAAGGAGATAGCATGTAGGTAGGGTTTTGCTGTGGGATTACGTTTACCTTCTTGAGTTGAAGTCAAGATCTAAGGCTTTGTGATTAGTTTGTCCAGTTGTGTTGCACAAATGCGTGTTTTATGATAGAGAGAATTCTTCTGTTTCTTCTCTCGAGTTAGAATTCTGTGAAGAATATTCATATAATATAAAAAAATGCATTGGTTATTCTTTTGGAAATAAATTATTTATTAATGCTGGAAAACAATATATATTTCCATTGCTCCCAATGCAAAAAAAAAGGCAAAAACAAACCCCCCAAAATTAAAGCATTCTAGTTCCATGAAAAGAAATTGTATCTGCATAACTTAATTTTTTTTTTTCCCCCTGTTTTTAAGCCATGGTGATAAAGATTTTTTTTTCTTAAATCTAGGCACCTGGCAGCTCATTGCATAAGAAATTGTCAATACTGAAATTACTAAATAGAATAGACTATTCTTAAGAGTATCTGTAATGATTATAGCAGGATCACAGGTTTAGCTCTTTTATATGGGAAATTAATGGAAACAGAGGAGGAGCTGGGAAGAGAAGATGACTAGTATCTGAAATTAATTTCCTTGTTTGGACTTCATGAAATTAGAAGATAATCTTATATCACAGATTTTTATTTAGGGCCAAATTTAAAAATCGAATGGACAATTTCAGGCAGTGCTGTTAGATTTCATATATGTGTAACTCACTTTGCTGTTTAAAATGCTTGAAAAGAGTTGCATTTAAAAGCAAGTCTGTTTATATTGCCTTATGTAAGAATGATAATGTCATTCTTTAATTTTTATTATTTATTGCTTTAAATCTTACATTAAAGCACTTTGTTTTAAGGCAGGGTTTACCGGTGAGTAGGTAGAAATTGCATCAGAATATTAAAATTATTTTTTGTTGTTGTTGTCGTCTCAATTTTAAGTCTTTTGTCCTTTATGAAGTTATTCACTTTATGGAAAGGTAGCTATACAAGCAAAGACTTTTTGCTGCATTTGAACACTTGCCGTAAAGACTGCCTTAAAATAATAAAGATACCACAAGTAATTTAAAATTATAGTATTTGATCCCTATATATTTGGAAGAAAAGTCTGGTAGTTTTTTCTGACTGTCTTGGTATAGATAAGCTTAGATTAGTATACTGTATGCTTATTCTTAGCTGTCATTCTAGCTCAGAATAACATACTGGACATGGTGTAAAAAGCAATTTTGAAAATTGGCTTGGATCTTTTCTGAAAAAGTGAGAATTCACATGTCGGTGGGAGAAACTTGGCCTATTTTAACAAAATAAAGAGAAATTTAACATGGTGGCCTCTTCCTAAACATGGTAGAGGAAGAGTTTGCTAATTTTAGCTGACTTAAAATGTATAGTATCATGGGGACAAAAGGCATTCTTACTTATGCCAGAGGCAGTATTCTCATTATTGTGATTTAATTTATTTTAAAATAAATAACATTTGAAAATACTAACATTTTAAAATACAATGTAGGCCTTTAACTCAAGAAGAAATAGCTCATCGGCGTGAACTTGCGAAACGAAGGCATGCAGAAAAATTGGCAGCAAATCAAGGAAAGGAGCTGTCAGAAAAGCCCCCAAGTGAAAATTTGTCTGAAGTAACTGGAAACACTGGTGATACGAAAGGTATGTAATGCTCTGCTATCTGTTTTTCTCAGAGGACATTTAGTAGTAGTGTCTAGGTGTTGTCAAGGGGCTGTGTACCTTACAAAGAATCATCCACATGCCAGTCCAAACAGTTCAATAGATGGAACTGAACAAAGAGTGAGGAGGAATTTGTAAGAAAGCTGATAGTTCAAAATGCTGTAATAGTGCCATGGATACCTGTTCCTATACCCTGAGAATGTGCTTAGTCTCAGTACTTTGAGTTGGTGAAGACAGATGATGCTTGAAGGAGATGCTCTGCTGAAAAATTAATAATTTTCACTCTTAAGTAGAAAGGTGTGGCAATTGACTTCTGCCCTTGTGTATGGGATAGACAGACTCAGGTTTATTTAGCTTACTGCTAGAAACTTCTTATGGACTTGTTACTAGCATACTTTATGCTAATGTAACTTTAATTCCTTTAAGCTTTTATGAGAGTAACTGGTTTTTTTTTAAATAAAAGACAAACAGCCTGATAATAAATTGGTACAAAAGCAGCGTATGAGCAACAGGACTGGATTGTGAGTTACAATGGGGCATTCTTGCTATCTTTTAATGTGTCACCAAATATGGTAGGAAAATATGTAATTGATTTTTTTTTTTTCTTCAGATGATGAGGCAGAAACTACTTTTATACTTCATATGTTTTTCTAACTTTAATTAGGTGAAGAGCAACAGCTCACTGGTCAAGTAGATATCATGACCTCAAAGGCAATGAAACAGGAAGCAGACAACAAGGAGTCTTTCATTGCTTTTGCTAGAGTGTTCAGTGGTGTGGTGCAACGAGGGCAAAAGATCTTTGTTTTAGGACCTAAATATGATCCTGCTGAGTCTTTGCATAAGGTAAGAGGTGGCAGTGAACTGTTACCATAACTTGGGATTCTTTTGAAACACCAATGACTTAACTTTTTACATATTTCTTACACAAAAAATAATTTAAAAAAAAAGTTCAAGTCAAAAATTCAAGAAGGTATCAAAGTGATTTAGGTAATTGTGGTAATAGCTGATTGTGTCCATAAATTCTTTGTAAACCCTAACATTTTCAAAATAGTTTAAGTACAGTATTGTATTAGCTAACAATAAATCCAGTATGAGCATACTTTGATTCAAAGAAAACTTATGAAGAAAATACGATCCCTTTGGGGAGCAGGGAGGTGCATAACACTATTGAAAAAAATGGTGCTAAATGTTTTGAGATTGTGATCATAGAAGTTCATTACTTAGGAATTTACTTTAAAACATTTGTTTTATCAGTGACAATGAAAAGTGAGCTTGTTTGCCACAAGACTGGATTTTTGGAAGGGGAAAAATATTTTCAATCATGTGTTGGTTTTTAATATCTAACTTTTGAAGTGAAAATGCTTTAGAATGCATTTCTTAGCTTTGGAATGCAAGAAGATTTTGAGGAAGAAATTTGTATCAGTACTAAGTGATAAATATCCAACACTGGTTGTTTTACTCTGTGTAGCTGTCATCCCAGTGTTCTGCTACAAATGATCTGCCATTAGTTCCTCATATGACTTGCTGTACATTGGAGAATCTCTACTTGCTTATGGGAAGAGAGCTTGAAGATCTTGAAGAAGTACCTGCAGGAAATGTTCTGGGTAAGATGTAACTAGTGTTTAATTTCCTAGACCTCAAATTCTTGTATCATCCAAAATACACTGAAATTGTTTTGATGTGATTAATAATAAGAAAACTTAAATCAATCTGTGAATGTTTTTAGGTATGTTGTATGTGCAAAAAATGAAGGCACTCTAATTAAACTGTGATTTCTGTGAACTCTGAATTGTGAGGAAGGAAAAGATGCATGAATAGAAGAAAACTAGGGATTACATTAGCCTGTTATCTTAAGGTTGGAGTATTGCCAGGTAATCATCGCTGCCCGGAATTGCCAAAGGCAGCAGTAAGGTCTCGTATTTTATAAATTGCAAGGATTATTTATAATATTTTCCCAACAGTGGAAGTTCTGTAACATGACTTCTAGTGATGCGGATAATTGTAGTTTTATTTATGGGTCTGCTCGAACTATGGTGCTAAAAAATACTTCTTTTATGGCTGTGGCAAATTTTGCACTTTCTCCATGGACAAGGTTCTAAGGGACAAGTCATCCTAATCATTGAGTTATGCTCTTTTTGCTTTGCTCTAGAGTATGAATAGCATTCTTTGCTGGTTTTGTCCTTCATTTGTCTTATTTTAATATCAAAAGTAGTGTTTAGAATTTATGAAGTGGAAACTTTAAAAATTATTTGGTTCCTTTTTTTTTTTCATTTTTTTGTGAGTGAAAATGTGAGAACTACAGCAAAATACAAGATTTCTTTTTTCGTGTCTATTGTCTGATATTTAGCAATTTACAGTAAATATATAGTGAATTAAAAATAGGTGTAGTCTGTCAGTGTTGGATTTTGTTAATCTAGGCAGTTAACCGTGCTCGTCACTTTTAGCATGGGCCTGGTGTTCAGAACATAAGCAGCTGATGAATTAGTTTTATTTGGAAGCTTAATATTTTAAAATTCTGAATTATACCTTACTCTAGTCTGATACCCAAGCTGACCATTTTCAGTGTCAAAATGTATTAGGTATATGGTCTGTTTACTTCAAAAAATGATTAAGGGTTTGGAAAAAAAAACCCACCCCAAAACACTTTGCAGTAAAAGTGAAAGGGTATCATCTTCGTGCTTGCCAAATAATAAATACTCCTGAAGCTGCTTCCTGCAGAGAAGAATATATTGTGAGAATTATGTTATGTCTTTAATGTTGAGTTGGACCAAATTTCAAGAAATGTTTCAAGATCATTGTCTAGTCTCTTTATATATTGACAAAAAGGTTTTCATTTTTACCTAGAACATACAGGCTCAACTACATATGTATTTTTTTTAAATCTGATGTCATTTTAAAGAATTCTTAAAACTAAAAGCCCTAAATACCTTCTTGTTCATTTGTTTCTCCCATTTCCTTGTAAAGCTGCATTGTTAACTTACATAAATTCAATAAACATCTTTACTGATTTGATGATGATTTACAACACTCAGGAGAAAATGCAGTACATTTCTATGAAAGGAATCTGTAACAATGGTGATACAAGACTTTTATTATTCCAGTTAGTAACAACGATTTCTGTTTCAAAGGCCATTTATCTTCCAGCTTTAAAGCATACAGCAGTGATTTCTCTCCAGCCATATAAGGAAATTGCTTGTAGATTATCTAGTAAATTAAGGAAGCTTTTCTGAAAGCTCTGTAGTTTTACTCTGCATAATTAAATTATTGCCACAAGGAATACATAGTTATTCGTGACTGTCTTTCTACTTTAAAACTCGTGGTGTAGGGTTTTTTCAGATTTTTTTTCTTCAGAGTTGGTTTTTTTTTTTTTTTTTTGCTATTATTTATACGTTGTTTCTTACGAGGAAGAATCTGCTTGGTCCTAGTGAGCAGCCTTTTTATTCTTTGTACTGGCTTATGCAAAGGTTTAATGATCAAAGACATGGCCTGATACATAGGTTGTTTTACTGAAGATGGAAAGATTTCATCCCTTGTTCTTTGTGTTCAGTTAATATTTCCTTAAAATACTAATCTCCTTTTAATTGCTAAAAATCTGAGGAAAATATTGTAAGAAGAAAAGGTAATGAAGCATATTGTGTTTGAACTACAAAGCTGTCACACAAACAGAATTCAAGAACATCCAGCTGAAAAGCAATACTATGTCTGTGTCTAATATGCATAGCCATTCTGGCAAGCTTTAGAAAGCTATTTTCTGGTATTATTCCGAGTTCCTGGAAGTTAGGAGAGACAGACTGCTTTGCATTAGTTAATTTGTATTGCAAGTTTGCAGCTCAAATGTTTTGTCAAAAGTATTTGTCAAAAAGCTTTAAGCAGTATGTCATTTTCAGGTAATGGCAAACACAAAATAACTGCCTCCTTCAACATAGCTGTTTATAATTCACAATTTTTCTTCTTTACAATTTCTGCGACTACTATACATTTTTTGTAGTCCTTCAGTAGGAGGTGAAATATGATTTAAAACAAATGAAAAAGTTCTTGGGGACCAAGGATAATAAAGTCTTTGTAATAAATCTTCTTTTAAAAATTATTTGTCAGAATATTTTATGAAAAGAGTAAAATTCTTGTCTCTGACAAAAACACCTGGTTTGTAGAATTTGTAATTGGAAGCACTATTGATTTCTCCACTCTGAGAACTAAAAAGGAGTAGGTGAACAAAATACCTTCTGAGGAGACAGTACTGTCTTGTTTTTCACCTTTTTTTTTTCCCCTGCACTTCTGTTAGAGGGCCTGTGCCAGCAGACAGGAAATTATACTTGGTAACTGGTACTACTAGGTTCTACTTTGTGCTACTTTGAATGAACAGAGACCTTGCAGGAGGAGAATCTAGTTACTGGAGCAGCAGATAAGGTTGTACTAGATTAGGTATGTGCCCTAGGGTTCCAGATGGCACTTGTACTTAGTTGAAACTGCTGAATGAAAAACATGGTAGTCATTGGAATGGGCCATGAAAAGTATCTTGAGGTTTAATTTGGAAAAGTGTTGAAGTACTGATCCAAAAATAAATCGTGTGTCTCGATGCACTTTTTCAGGAATGGCTTATTTTTCTGTGTAGTGTCACAGGCCTTTTGCATGGTATGCAGTTGCTGAATTTGAACCTCCCTGTGGTCATCAGGTCTGAGCCCTGGGAGTGGGAGCCTTGTCTTACAAATGGTCCACCTACTTGTCCTTATTGCAGTGCTGGCTTTCTCTGTATCGCTCTGTCCTGTCTTAAGCGCCATATGAACTACTGTACTGGCTTAATTTGCCTCGCAGTTGGGCTGATGCATTATTATCTTCACAGACACAGTGTTATCTGTTTTGTAAATTCTAGGTATAAAACTAGGTATATCAAAATCATGCTTAAATTCCAAATATAGAAGTACTGTGTACTTGCAAACATTAAATGTGATAATTATGTATGTCACCTAAATCTGTATCTCAAAACCAATTGAGATATTTTGATTCCAAGACATGTCAGGCACATTTTGTGTTCTCCTTTTGAAAACTACCTGAATATCCATTGGAAAGAAAATGTTGTATCATAGACCTTGGAGGCAAACCTGTGGGCTATTTTGAAAATACTGTCTTTCTGTGTCTTTAAGGAGAGAAACAGTACTTGAATATTAAATTCCAAAGACTGCTTGACTGATGTATCATTACATGTTCTTAGTGACACTATAATTAATACTGACCTGTGTTTGCATAATCTACTGCTATGCAAATAGCAAGCTACTGTAATTGCCCCACTCTCTTTAAAGATTTGTCTGTCTTTGCTATGACAAAAATATGTCAGAGAAAGGAGCTTGATATAGACAATCATCTGGCTATCCAGATGTGTTTAGCTTCTTTAGTTTATTGACTATTATGGAAGCTTAGGTTCTTGCTGGGTCACTCCCCCTTGCTGTACAGGGAACATCTATGGTACCATGCAAGCATCTCCTCCAGATGTGTTGTATTTGACAGGAAGTGAACCCCTGGCTGTAGCATGAAATCCATTGATCTCTAATTTAGTTACCACAGCTGCTCTTACTAGTGCTTAGTTTCTCTTATAAAAAGGAGAGCTATAAATGGTCTAGTCATGATACCTTAATTGATTTAATTTGAATGTTGTATGTAAGTTCTTCTGTTTGCCAAGTAGTGTTAGGTATTGTTTAACAAACTGTAGAGACTGATAATGCAGGTACAGAAATAGAAAAATTAACACAAACATAAACGATTTTTCTTTTAAGTTTTTTTTTTGTTAATTAAAGGCGTAGGGAAGCTGTATTTATTATGTCATTTCATGAATGAAAAAATGTTACTTCTTTACCAGGAGAGAAAACAATAACTTAAGTTGAAACAGTGTTAAAAGTTCCACAAAGGAGATTATTAGGGAAGTTTTAGATTATTTCGGTTATGTTTCTATGTTAAGAAGATTTTGTTTAAATTAAGACTACCTCTGTCACACCAGTAAGTGTTTTGAAGCAGTAATA